CTCATTGCTCAGCATAAAAAATTTGAGAGAAAAAAAGAGAACCGAAATGTTTTCTAACCCAAAAAAACTAGATTTTTGAAAATTCGAATTTCAAAAAAAAAATTAAATTTCTTGAAAACCGAGGCCCGGCCACTTTAAAGCTTGTAACTTTGTTCCTAGACAAGACACAGGTCTATAAATAGTATCATTTTGTAGATCTTGTCGAGTTCTATCTTATCTATTTTTGATGATCTGAAAATAATGATTCTGAAAGAAACGATGGCAAAGCGCGGTCGCAGGTATGATATTTTTGAAAAATATATCCGAAAAACTGAAAATTTTTAATACTAATTCTAAAAAACCAAAACTCAATTTTGGGTTCATTTTGGATAGGCTCTCCGAAAATTGAAAAAAAAATAGAAATTTCTAGAACTGGTCCTGAATTTCTCAGACCCCCCTATGCGCCTTTAAAGTCGAAACTTCAAAATGGGCGGAGCCTAGGCATGATTATACTCATTTTGAAGCTAATTTTATGCTGAATTCAAATTTCAGAATCATTTTTCTGAAAATTCTAGGAATTTTCAGATTTTGACCGATTTTTTTGGGACTTTTTTAAACTACTCATTAGCACGTAATTATCTATTCTTTTTTCTGTGTTTTTTTCTTGATTTTTCTCATTTGACAGAGATCTTTTTTTGTGTAAAAAACATCCAAAAAATTAAAAATTTTTAAATTTTAAACTTTAATTTAAATTCGAAAAATGCTAGATTTTTATAAACTTCTTTCGGTGAAAAATTCTAAAAATTGGATAATTTACAAGTTTTACAAAAAAAAAGTGTTTTCCTTAAATTCATTTTTCTGTCCGTCCAAATCTGTATTTTAAGAGCCCTTTTAATAAAAAAGCCCCTCTAATAGAAATGTGTGTTTGAAATCACAACATTTCCGCACTTTTTCAGTGGGAAATATTCCGCGAACTCCACATTTTAATAGAAATTCGATGAAACTCTATTTTTCGATGAAAATCCTGCTAAATTTTGGTAAAATTGGCAGATTTTGCATCGAATTTCCGATGCAAAATTTCGGGAAAAACTGGGCCCCTGTAATAGAAAAGAATAGAAAGAAAAGGATTTTTTAAAAATTAAAAAAAAATGTTTTTAAATCCAATCAATTTCCTTAAATTATCTAAAATAAAAAGCATGAAACTTATAGAAACCTGTGAAAAAAAACGTGGAAAAAATTAAATTTTCGGCTTCCAGAACATTCTGTGGAAGCCCTAAAAAAATGGGGGGAAATAAGAGAGAAACCGGAGGAGAAGAATTAAGGATTTGAGAGGATTGGGAGGGGGGGGGGATAGGACAAAATTCATGACGACATGGAACACTTTTTTTTAGAATTCTAATACATTTCTCAAAGTCTCAAATTTGAAAAACGGAAACGGAAAAAAAAACGAGTGAGACATTTTTTACAGAAAGCGGAAACGGAAAAAAATCTTCAAAAATCGGAAAATTTCTATTTTTCGTCGATTTTTTCAGGATTTTTTCCCCCCCATCAAACATTTACGCTCTTCGATTTGATTCTCGAGGTCTTCTGCAACAAGAGAAAATCGATAATTTTTATTGATTTTTTGGGCTTGAATGTGGCAAAAATCCCAAAAAAAACTCAAAATTTTCAATTTCGGATTACTGTAGCATCATCGTTTTTCGTCAAAATTACATCCCGAAAAAGCGAAAAACGAGCTTTGAAAATCGATTTACGGGGATTACTGTAGCTCGGATTGTGTGCAAACACGCATTCTACACCAAATACATCAAACTTGACGACAATTTTAACAGAAATTCGAATTTCTGTGCAAAGTGTCGTCAAATTGGATGCATTTTGTGTAATACGATGTTTGCACAAAATTGGGGGTACAGTAATCCGAAAAATCTGCTCTTTGAAGATTTTTAAGGGATTACTGTATTTTTCGATTTTTTTTTTCCATTATTTTGTTCAAAAATGGGCCAAAAATTCCAAATTTTTGCTTAAAAAAGCGTTTTTTTTTAAATTTTCGGGTTACTGTACCAATGATTGTTTGTTTGGATTCCTCTTCAGCCGCTTGTCGCTTGTTAATTTTTTTCCGTGAAAGCGGAAACGGAAAAAAATCTTCAAAAATCGGGCAGATAACGGAAAACGGAAGTTTCTATTTTTCGTCGATTTTTTCAGGATTTTTCCCCCCATCAAACATGAAAATATACACTTTTTATAGGTTTAAAGACGATAATTGCATCACTTTTCATGCTATTTTCGAGCCAGTTTCCGCTGAAAAAAATTGGAGATTTTTTCCGGAAAACGGAGACGGAAATCGAATTTCACATTTACGGAAACGGAAACGGAAATTCCTCCTATCACTGCTTATAAATCTGAAATCATTGAAAAAAACCAAAAAATTAAAACATTTCAGAACTATTCTAGAGCAAAATTGGTTTTTGAAAAAGCTAGATTTTTAAAGGGGGACTCCGAACAAAAATTTTTATTGCATTAAAATGTGTTAAAATTTATCTATTTTCCGAATATTATTGCGAAAAAATTCAAAAAAAAAATCCGAAATTCCCGAAAAACGCCGTTGAAAAGGAAGAAAATTCAAAAAAAGGTGCCGCCGGGGGACGAGGATTTTCAGTGAGAAACCTAGGCCACGGCAGCGGGCGCCTTTCCTATGTGGCAAATTTTCCGGATTTTTTTCAATTTCATGTCCGGCAGGTGAAAAACGTAAAAAACCACTGTCGGCGACTTGAAAAAAAGGCTGTCAGGTGCCGTGGCCTAGGTTTCTCACTGAAAATCCTCGTCCCCCGGCGGCACCTTTTTTTGAATTTTCTTTTTTTTCAACGCTGTTTTTTCGGATTTTCTTTGAATTTTTTCGCAATAATATTTGAAAAATAGATAAATTTTAACACATTTTAATGCATTAAAAATTTCTGGTCGGAGTCCCCCTTTAAGAACTTTTGAAAACATTTAAAAATGTCTGAAAAAATTGTGAAACGGTTAATAGAAACACTCTTCTCTTCTCATTAGCATCAATGCTTAGTAGTGCTTCGTAAGGCTTCCATTCGGTCGGGAAATTTAGCCGACCGACCGACAGCCGACCGTTTTCGTGCATTTGTGCGTCAACGTGTTTGCATACGCTGCATTGTATTTTACGACAAACATGTATTTTACGACAAACTACTCACTAAAAGCCTCGTTTGTCGTAAAATAAAGTGCTTCGTACGCAAAAATTCGTGTTTTTATGCGCACGAAATCGGTCAGCTCGGTCGGCGATGCTCGACCGACCGAAATGGAAGCACTGCTTCGTTCTTCCCTTATTTATAATTCATAGAGACAAAAAAATGTGTAATGCTACTAGAAATTTAAGAATCTCAACAAAAAAAAAAGAAAATTCTCCTTTTTTTTCTTTTTCTTCTTAATGATCAAAAATCTCAGAAAAAAGAAGAAATTGGCTTCGTTTTTTCCAAAAAAAAAAAAGATTTATTTGCTAATTGAGGATGATTAAATTTTAGAAAAAAAATATTTTTTGAAATTACCGATTTTTTATAAATTCAGAATCACTTTTTGAGCTATTTTCCTCTAAAATTCAACAAACGTTCAGATTTTCAGATTTTTTTTTGACTAAAAAAGTCAAAAAATCCAAAAAAGGTCTTCTTTTTCTTCTTTTTTTTTGAAATTTGACCACTTTTTTGCTCATTTATTTATTTTTTTTTCCTTATATTTTTCTCTTCTTCATCTCTATTTCTTTTAGATTTCTCTTTTTTTTGTTTTTCTGCTTCATCCAGAATTTTTGCTCTTTTTTTTTATTGCCTTGTTGACTTTACTACCCAATTAACGTTAATTGGTCTGCTGGGAGCCAAAAATTTTTCCAAAAATTCAGAAAAAATCCAAATTTGAAAATTCTTGAAAATTCCAAAAAAATAAATCCAAAAAACTCAAGCATTTTCAGATTTTCAGAAATTTCTAACTTCTAAAAAAATTGATCCCAATTTTGAAAATTCTCAAAAATCAGAAAAAAAATGATTTAAGAAAACTTTTAAAGGATAACTCCATTTTGCCGTACAAGCGAGAACGCGAACGTTCTTCCAAGCGGCGGCACACACTCCTCGTTTCATAAACGTTTTAGCGACAGGAGACGGCAGGCGCCACGTGGTGTAGAGGTGAACGCGCTTGTCTATCGGTCGCGCATCGCGGGTTCGATTCCCATCTGTCCGCTTCGTTTTTTTTTCTGTTTTCATGCGGCGACATCATGGAATGACAGAATATCGACAAAAAGTCTGGAATTATCGCCTGACATTGAAGAAATCTAGTGTAAACTAAAAAAAAAATAAATGCTCGTCAAGTAGCGCGCATTGGGATCGCAATCGCACGATTTTCCGTCAGAATACATGATCTCGCCCCAAGAAAACCCCGTAGACTTTCGTGTCTGGCCTTCTTTAAAAAATTGTATTCGAATTTTAAAAATCATTATTTTATACTCGACTTTTTTTTTATAATTGAGACATTTTTAGAATCGAAAAAAGGCACTGTTTTTCTGGGGGATGGAGATGGGGATGGGGGGATATACAATAAAAATTCAATTAATATTTACAAGAAAAAGTCACAAAAATCGAATATTTTTTCTATAGATCTTCTCTAATAATTATGATTATGAATTTTTCAAAAAAAAAAATCCGGGACAAAAATTACAAAAAAATTGCAAAAAAAGAGCGAAGAAGAGAGAAACACCAGTATATGTTTTGTATGAAAAATAAAGATTTTCAATTAAAAAATTCTAGAACAAAGCTGAAATTTTAAGATTTTTTGAATAAAAAAATCGGAAAAAATTGAAAAAAAATAAAAAATTTCAGATTTTTTTCTGGAAAAATCAGCAAAAAATGCAAAAATCAGCAAAAAATTAATTATTGGAAACAGGGCATTTTTCGTTAAGAGAAAAAAAAATAATTTCAGAGAAAATTAGAGAAAAATCGATAAAGTAATATTGATGGGTGAGCTCCTCTTCAGCGGAGCAACGAATCCAAAGCGGCTGCCGACGATGATGACGACGATGTGGCTTGATTTTGTGGATTTTTGGATCTGAAATTTTTTCAAAACTTTTTTTTTTTCATTTTTGCTGAAAATAGACTGAAATAGGCTTAAAAATGAGTAAAACGGTCCAAAATCTGAAATTCTTTGGAAATATCTGAAAATTTGAAATTTGAAAAAATTCCAGAAAATTTCATTTTTTGAAAATTCTGAAAATTCAAAAATTTCAAAAATTTCGAAATTTCAAGATTTTCTGGAATTTTTTCAAACTTCAAATTTTCAGCCATTTCCAGTCATTTTTATCCATTTTCAGCCTATTTTGGAGTCTATTTTCACTCATTTTTACGCTGATTTCAGTCTATTTTCAGCCAATTTCAGTCAAATTCGGCCCAAATTTTCAGCTAATTCCAGTTATATTTCAGTAGTAGGGGTTTTCTGCTAAATTTAGCCATTTTTTCAGCTGTTTTAACTCATTTCCTTCTCATTTTTACACCGATTTCAGTCATTTTCCTCCTCTCAAACATTCGCGATTTTCAGCTCAAAACTTCGCCTACAGTATCCTCCTACCGTACCTCTGCGTCGCTGTCGTTGGTGCATCCATCGACATTCGTGGCGCCGGCTCATTCTGAGTTCTCAACGGGAGGTGTGGAGCAGTTCGCGATGATTCCGATTCGATTTCAAGGAATCTGCAACAAGAAAACAATCGATAATCAAAATGTCCATCTGTGTGTCGGCGTGTCCAAAAATCGATAATTTCGGCTCAAATTTTTCGATTTTCGCCGTCGTTTTTTTTTCTCAGAGCCTAAATTCGGGATTACTGTACCTCATACGTTGAAAATCTGAAAAAAATTGAATCTAAAATTATAATAAAGCGAAAAAAAATTATATTCTAGCTGAAAATTGATAATTTTTTGACGATTAATTTCTGGATTACTGTACCTAATATACTGCAAAACTAACAATCGATAACTTAAGATCAAAATTCATGGGGGTTTTTTTTTCGACTATTTTTAAGGCTCATTTTAGCTCAAATCCAATAACTTTCCAGAGGATTACTGTACCTAATAAACTGATCAGCAATCGATCCACCAGGCGATGGACTTGGCGAGTTTCTGGCCGATAATCCCCAGAATGAAGACTGCTGCTGCTGTCCAACGGATTGACGAACCGCCGATTTGAATTTGTCCATTTCATCCGGTGGATATTCCAGAATATTCGCCAACAACAGTGCAATGTCCGCCTTTTTCGACGATTCCGACGAGAAATACGATAGGAATAGCTGGCGGAGTGTGGAATCATCGATACGGTACGAGTCGGTGGGCTTCTTCGGCGATCGCAGCTCTTCGATTTGATTCTCGAGGTCTTCTGGAAAAACGAAATCGATAATTTTTATTGATTTTTTGGGCTTGAATGTGCCAAAAATCCCAAAAAAAAATTATAATTTTCAACTTCGGATTACTGTAGCATCATCGTTTTTCGTCAAAATTACATCCCGAAAAAGCTCGTTTTTCGCTTTTTCGGGATGTAATCTTGGATTTTGGGTGATTTTTCCAGGTCTGATTTTTAATTTTTAAGGGGTTTTCTTGGGATTACTGTATTTTTAACGGGCCAAAAAAGCGCTTTTTCAGCAAATTTTCAAGGGAAATTATTCAAAATGTTTGGGTTACTGTACCTATGATTTTCTGTTTGGATTCCAATTGCAATTGCCTTCTCTCGGATTCCTCTTCAGCCGCTTGTCGTCCAATCGATTGACGATCCATTTCTTCACGAATTTGAGCGATTTCTTCGGTTAGATTCTGCAAAAATCATGAAAATTCGAGATTTTAGGCGATTTGCAATGGGTTTTAGCACTTCTAGACCCAAAAATACGCTCTAAAACCTTCTAAAACCCCCTGAAAACCCTAAAAATCAACTGTTCCCTTATTTTTGAAAAATTGCACACTTGGCTCAGTGGGTCTCAAATTTACCAATCTAGACACCCGGGTTCGATTCCCCTCGGTGGCAAATTTTTTGAAAAATCGTTTTAGACCATTTTCATGGTGTTTGGAGCGTTTGAAAGTGGTTAAAACCCTTAGAAATCGATTCTTAAGGTCGAAAATGCAATTTTCCTGTTTTTTCCTTGACTAAACATAGTTTTCAACTGAAAAAGTCGATTTTTAGCATTTCTAGACCCAATAATACGCTCCAAAACCCTCTAGAACCCCCCGGACACCCTAAAAATCAAGTTTCCGCTGATTTTCCGAAAAATGCACATTTGGCTCATTGTATCCCAAATTTACCAATCTGAACACCCGGGTTCGATTCCCGTAGGTGGCAAATTTTCCGTAAAATCGTTATAGACCATTTTCAGGCACTCTAGAGCGTTAGAAAGTGGTTAAAAAGCTCAAAAAATGAGTTCTAAGTGCCGAAAACTCAGTTTTAATCAATTAACTTATATATTTAGGTATTTTTCGGCTAGAAACGTCCATTTTAGGTGCTTTAGAACCCAATAATACGCCCCAAAACCCTTCAAAACCCCCTAGAAACCCTAAAAATCGACTTTTCCCTTATTTTCGAAAAATTGCACACTTGGCTCAGTGGGTCCCAAGATTACCAATTTCAAGGTCCGGGTTCGATTCCTCTCGGTGGCAAATTTTTTGAAAATTGGTTGAAGACCATTTTCAGGCACTCTAGAGCGTTAGAAAGTGGTTAAAACACCCAAAAATTGAGTGGAGTCCATTTTCTACAGTATCCATGCGCCTTTGAAGGGGATTACTGTAGTTTTGAAGACGGCACAGGCATGTTTATACTCATTTCGAAGCTCTAAACGAGCCGAACTCAAATTTCAATGTTGCATTTAGAAAGAGTACCCACCGAAATCGTCGTTTGCAGTTCGAGATTGCGATGACTGGCCGTCGCCGAGTCTCTCTCGTGATCAATCGATAATTCTCGAACGACATTCTGAAGACTGGCGAGTGCTTCTTGTGTCTGTTCTCTCGATTTTTGCTCTGAATCGAATCTCCGTTTCCAGTCATTCGTCGTCTTTTGGGATGATTCCAGTTGAGCAGTTAGAGACGCGATTTGCACTTGATATTGTTGATTCGACTCGCTGGCACCTGAAATTTTGGCGTTTTAGAGCTGAAAATGGGGTTTGAAATTCTCAAAATTGGCTGAAAATCAGCAATTTTCAGCCGAAAATGAGCAATTTTCGACCACCAAAATTGGCTTCAACTGCTAAAAATGTGCATTTTTTGACTGGAAATGAGCATTGTGTGCATTCCGACGTGACGGTGTACAGTAGGCGGTGTTTACTGCTAATTTAGACTGTTCTAGAGGCAGAAATTCGAATTTCTGTGCAATTTGTCGTCAAATATAGTGCTAATGCACACAAATCAAAGCTACAGTAACCCATAATCAATTTTGATCGTGTTTGGGTCATTTTCAATGAATTTTAAGCCAAATTTCGTCTATTTCCGATTGTGTGCAATGCACGCATTTTATCAAATTCTACGTCATTTTGCACAGAAAATCGGATTTCTGTGCAAATTGTCGTCAAATTTGACGCATTTGGTGTACAATGGTGCATTGCACACAATGGGAGCTACAGTAATCCCCCCGTAAATCGAGTTTTAGCGATCCTTGGGTTGAAATGTCGAATTCTGAAAATTTGCTGAAAAAGCGCTTTTTTGGCCCGTTAAAAATACAGTAATCCCAAGAAAAACCCTTAAAAATCTTCAAAAATCAGATTTTTCGGATTACTGTAGCTCGGATTGTGTGCAAACACGTATTCTAGACAAAATGCATCAAATATGACGACAATTTGCACAGATATTCCAATTCCTGTTAAAATTGTCGTCAAATTTGATGCATTTGGTGTAGCATTGGTACTTGCACAAAATCCGAGCTACAGTAATCCCAAAAACCGATTTTTTCCCTCTTTTTCACTCTTTCGGGGGCTATAATTTTGGATTCTGGGTGATTTTTCCAGGTTTTAGAGTCAAAATTTCCGAATTTTCAGCTCAAAAATCGCTTTTGAGCCATTTTTGATCAATTTTGGACCGTTTTATATCATTTTAGGGTCATTTTAAGCCACTTTTCGACAATTTTTCATGATTTTCGGGCTATTTTATGCCATTTTGAGCACATTTTCAGACAATTTTCGACCATTTTAGATGAATTTTGAGCCATTTTAGGCTGATTTTCAGCGATTTTAGACAATTTTAAGCCATTTTTCGACGATTTTAGAGAATTTTAAGGTAATTTTAGTCGATTTCAGCCGATTTTCGACTAGTTTTAATGCATTTTTAACCATTCTAGAAGACTTTTGGGGCTATTTTAGACCAGTTTGAACCGTTCTAAATCGATTTTTGGTCATTTCTCTGCCTCACCTTCCTCCACCTGATGCCCCTTCGCTTCCAACACCTTGACCCTCTCCCTGAGCTCCGTTTCCCTGTGCTCCGCCTCGACGGCTTCTCTCGTCGAGTTCTCCTCAACAATCATCAGATGCTCGCGGAGTCGTGCCAGCTCTTTTGCTCTCTTCTCATTCTGCTCATTGTTCCGATTCAGCTGATCCTGGATCTCCTGATTGTGTTGGGCCATCGCTTGAAATTGCTCATAATACTTCACATTCTCCTCGTACTGCGTCTTTGCCACTCCTTTCAAGTGCTCATTCTCCTGTTGGAGGGCTAGAACGGCTCCACGCAGCTCCTCGATCGTCGTCGTGTCTTCTGGAGACGTCGTTTGCAGAGTCTGGAGGGTTTCCTGCAAAAAATAGGCCTAAAATCACAAATTTTTGAGGCGTAATTGGTCAAAAATCATGACGTGTTTGCACACAATCGGGGCTACAGTAATCCCCAAAATTCAATTTTTAGCCGAATTTTCAGCCAATTTTTGATGATTTTTGACCATTTTTTGTAGGGGGATAAATCGATTTTGGCTTACTGTAGCATCGATTTTTAGGGAATTTCGGCTCAAAAAACGACGCTGGAACTCAGTTATTTTTATTCCAGACGATTTTCAGCTTCAAAATTACAGTTTCAGCTCCCCAATCATCGTAATTTTCAGCCAATTTTTAAGCCAATTTTGTCTGAAATTTCCTCTATTTTCTCACCTTCAATTGCTCATTTTCCTTCTGAAGACTCGAAACTGCTGCACGGAGCTCCTCGATCCTCGTCGTGTCTTCTGGAGACGTCGTTGGCGGATTCTGGAGGGTTTCCTGCAGAAAATAGGCTATATGGGGTGAAAATAGATCGAAAATCATGAAATTGGGCTTAAAGTACACTTAAAAAGTTCAAAATTCGATGTAAAATGGAAAATCAGCTTAAAAATACAGAAATTTCGAATTGCTGTGCAAAGTGTCGTCAAATATAGTGCATTGCACCAAAGTGTCGTCAAATATAGTGCATTGCACCAGCTACAGTAATCCTGGATCAATTTTTGCAGTTTTAACGTTTCTTTTTGATGGATTTTCAGCCAAAATTGGCAATTTCCCAATTTCTGGGATTACTGTAGCTCTGATTGTGTGCAAACACTATTTCACTCCAAATGCATCCTATTTGACGACAAAAATCCAAATCTTCTGTGCAATTTGTCGTCAAATATAGTGCTAATGCACAAAAATCAAAGCTACCGTAACTCAAAATCGATTTTTATCGCATTTGGGTCATTTTTGATGAATTTTAAGCCAAACTTCGACTATTTTTAGCTAAAATCATGAAAATGGAAAATTCTAGCCGAAAAATAACAAAAATTCGATTTTTGGGGGATTACTGTAGCTCGGATTATCTGCAAACACTATTTTACCTTAAATGCATTAGATTTGACGACAATTAGCGAAGTTCCAAAAACTGTCGTCAAATCTGATGCATTTGGAGTGAAAAATGGTGTTTGCACACAATCGAAGCTACAGTAATCCAAAACCAATTTTAGCCAGTTTCCGTCCGTTTTCAGCCCTGAAAATCACTAATTTCGACTCTAGAAACGCTCAAAACGTGCTGAAAATCTTAAAAATCGGAAAATTACGATTTTCAGACGAGTTTCAGCTTTAAATACTCAACTTTTGTGATTTTTAGCCAATTTTTAAGCCAATTTTGTCTGAAATTTCCTCTATTTTCTCACCTTCAATTGCTCATTTTCCTTCTGAAGACTCGAAACTGCTCCACGGAGCTCCTCGATCGTCGTCGTGTCTTCTGGAGTGGATTCAGCAGGCTTCTGGAGGTGTTCTTGGAGACGTTCCTGTAGGAAAAAAGAGGTTTTTTTAGATTTTCAGCAATTTTGGCTCGTTTTAGACCATTTTCAGTCAAATTTTCAGCATTTTCAGTCAATTTTCGGACATTTTGGACCATTTTCAGCCGTATTTTCAGCAATTTTGGCTCGTTTTAGACCATTTTCAGCCAAATTTTCAGCATTTTCAGCTCATTTCTCACCTCTAATTCCAGTTTTTCTAATTCGAGCACACTAATTTTCGCCCGTGTCTCACTTCCAGCTATTTCCATAATCTTCTCAATCTCGCTCTTCTCGTCTACAGTAATCTCGAGTCGAGACTTTAGCTCGTCGAGCTCTCGAAAAAAAAAATTGTGACTTTTAGGCGATTTTTTTGGTCAAAATCGCTCATTTTAAGCCATTTTTTGATGATTTGGGGTTGAAATTACTGTATTTTTAGTCATTTTCAGCCAAAAATCGGCAATTGGAAGTCATTTTTAACGATTTTAGGTTTAAAAAAATCGGTAATTTTAGGCCTATTTTGGCCATTTTAAGAGAACAAAATTACAGATTTTCAACCAATTTTTAGGCTCAAAATTGCTCTTTTTGATCCCAAAAAATGCTCACCTTTTCATCGGCTTTCTCCAACTTTTCGCTCATTTCCGCTATCGATTTTTGTAGTTGAGCTTTCTCGGCTTTCAGTTGATCGACCTGATCGACACGCTGTTTCAGCTCGCCTTCCATGTCTGAAAATATGCGATTTTCAGCCAATTTTCAGTCGAAATCCGGGATTTTAAACTCATTTTCGGTCGTTTTTCATCATTTTCAGTCAATTTTCAGCCAAAATTTGCGATTTTTGAGTCGTTTCAGGTTATTTTTAACACATTTTAGACCATATTTCGTGATTTCTGACTCATTTTCAGCCAAAATGTGAGGTTTTAAGCTCATTTTTCATGAGTTTTAGACTATTTTCAGCCAAAATTCGGGGTTTTTTTTGGTCATCTTTTATGATTTCCGGGCCATTTTGAGCCGAAATTTGTGACTTTTCAGTCATTTTAGACCCTTTTTTAAATGATTTTCAGCCAATTTTCAGCCGAAAATTCGCGGTTTCGGGTCATTTTTCACGATTTTTCGCCAATTTCTGGCAATTTTCAGCTAAAAATCCGGGATTTTTGACTCATTTTCAGCCGTTTTTCACGATTTTCAAGTTATTTTCAGCCGAAATTCGCGATTTTAATGCAATTTTAGCTCGCTTTTCATGATTTATAGGTAATTTTTCATAAATTTCAGATGATTTTTTATGATTTTTAGCTCTATTTCAGTCAAAATTCGGGGATTTCTAGGCCGTTTTTCATAATTTTCAGTTCATTTTACACAATTTCAAGCTCATTTAAAGCTAATTTTCAGTCGAAATTCAGCATTTTTGACTCATTTTCGGTCGTTTTTCATCATTTTCAGTCAATTTTCAGCCAAAAATTCGCGATTTTCGAGTCGTTTCAGGTTATTTTTAACACATTTTAGACCATATTTCGTGATTTCTGACTCATTTTCAGCCAAAATGTGAGGTTTTAAGCTCATTTTTCATGAGTTTTAGACTATTTTCAGCCAAAATTCGGGGGTTCAGGTCATTTTTTGCCCGAATTTCGCCTCATTTTTCACGATTTTCAAACCAAAATTTGACCTTTTTAGCTCATTTTGACCCTTTTTTCATGATTTCAGCCAATTTTCAGCCACAAATTGGAGTTTCTATCTCGTTTTTCATGACTTTTAAACTGTTTTTCATAATTTTTCGCTTATTTTTCATGATTTTTAGCTCTTTTTCAGTCAAAATTCGCGATTTTTAGGCTTTTTTTTTCGAAATTCTTGATTTTCGAGTCACTTTTCATTATTTTTACGCCATTTCTTGTGATTTTTTGGGTCGTTTTTCATGATTTTCAGCCAATTTTCAGCTAAAAATTCGCGATTTTTAGCGCATTTTCAGCTTAAAGTTACCAAAATTCAAGATTTCTAGCTCATTTTATCTCATTTTTCCAGACTTTTGACATATTTTTCATGATCTTTGATTCATTTTCAGCCAAATTTTTAGCCAATTTCTGCCGATTTCAAGCCAAAAATCCAGGATTTTTAGCTGATTTCAGACGCTTTTTCATGATTTTCAGCCAGTTTTCAGTCGATTGCTCACCCTTAACTCTCGCCTCAATACCATCCAACAGCTCCTTGTCCACTTTTTCGGCCTCGAAAAGGTTGCGCTCGAGATTCTCACGAATTTCAGCCGCTTCCGTGTTTTCAGCCGCCTTTTGCTCTTTTATCAGCTTCAGCTCGTTCTCCGTTTCAGATAGTTTTGTCTGCAAATTTTCAGAGAATTTTTAGCTTTTCGGGGATTACTGTAGCTCCGAAAGCATCGATTTTGACGCCGGAAATGTCGTCAAATATGGTGCAAATCAAGGCTACAGTAATCCAAAATCGATTTTTGTCGTTTATTCAGCCATTTTCAGCGATTTTCAATGATTTTTCATGAATTTTTAGCCAAAGTTGAAACTTCTAGTCGTAAAAAAACCTTAAATTGATTTTTAGAATTACTTCAGCTTCGATTGTGTGCAAACACCATTTTTCACAAAATGCATCGCATTTGACAACAAAAATTCAAATTTCTGTGCATTTCGTCGTCAAATATGTTGCATTGCACCTAAATCAAAGCTACAGTAATCATGAATCGATTTTTGCAGTTTGAAACTTTTTTTTGATGGATTTTCAGCCAAAATTGGAACTTCTAGCTTCAACATACCCCCAAAACCCAATTTTGGGATTACTGTAGCTCGGATCGTGTGCAAACACCATTTTACACGAAATGCATCGAATTTGACGACAAACATTCAAATCTTCTGTGCAAATTGTCGTCAAATATAGTGCTAATGCACCAAAATCAAAGCTACAGTAACCCAACATTAGTTTTTATCATATTTCGGTCATTTTTAATGAATTTTCAGCCAAATTTCGTCTATTTCCAGCCAAAATCATACGAATGGGAAATTCTAGTCGAAAAATAATCAAAATATCCGACTTTTGGGCGATTACTGTAGACCTTAAATGCATCAGATTTGACGACAATTAGCGCAGAGGTTCCGAAAACTGTCGTCAAATCTGATGCATTTGGAGTGAAAAATGGTGGTTGCACACAATCGGATATCTACAGTAATCCCCCGAAAATTCACAGAAAAACGATTTTTCATGGATTTTCAGCCAAATGTTCACCTGTAACTCGGCGACGTATCGCTTGAATTTCACCAATTCCTCGGATTTCGCTTCAGAACCCCTCGATTGCTCATCATCGTTTTCGTCGTCGCCGTCTTTTCCAGAAGAATCACCGCCGACAATCACTTCTTCCAGCCGTTTCGTCTTCTTCGCGAGCTCATCCGATCTCTCTTGCTCCTCGGCGAGCCGCTCTTCGAGCTGCAAATTTTTGAGCTCGTGATTTTGGTGATTTTGACTAATTTTAGGCCGATTTTAGGGTCATTTTAGGCTAATTTAGGCCGATTTCCTGTGTTTTTGAGTCATTTTAAGCCTAATTTGCCTATTTTTGTGCATGTTTTTGGTGAAATTTGGGTCATTTCAGGCTAGTTTAGACTCATTTTAGGCCCCCATTTAGACATACTTTGGCCAATTTTAAGCTCAAAAAATGATCAAAATCAGTGGAAAACTACAAAAATGCGATTTTTGGGGGATTACTGTAGCTTCGATTGTGTGCAAACACCATTTTTCACTCCAAATGCATCACATTTGACGACAGTTCTTGGAACTTCTGTGCAATTTGTCGTCAA